TCCCTCCTCCAGGCTTCTCCCTCCCTCCTTTTCTTCCTCACTATCTCCTCCCTCCTTCTTCTGCCTCCGCCTTTGGGGAGGGACTTCGCCGCCCCGCGCCAGCATCCAGGGTCGAGGTTCTCCACTCTGCTCCTTGCGACGCAGGCCCAGACCCCTCCCCTCCGGTCTCGGCTCCACATTCTGCCCCATCTCATCCGATCTCCTTGCCCAGTGCCACGCTGAACTCTTTTTGGCCTGGACCGGGTGGTCGTTTCTGCTCTACTTCTCCAAGTAAGGCCCCTCCTCCTGGGTCCTCTGGTTCCAGTGAGGGGCAGGAAGGTCGGCACCCAGCCTCCTCCAGCAAGAAAATGCCATCGGGGGAGGGGCCTGCAAGGTCAGAGGAACCAGGGACTGTGACTACAGGACCAGAGGTAGGAGGGCAAGAGCTATGGAGTAGGCCAAACAAGAACGCCAGAGCATCGTGGCAGTGGTGGGGAAGGAAGGGGTGCTAGACAGTAGCCCGAAGCTAGCAGCTCAATGTCTAGAGTACTGTTTGTTGTGGTTGCCTTGCTTGTCCTGTCCACAGAGCTGACAATGTAAGAACCAGCCCTGCCCTGTGTGACAGAAGCAAGAAGAGGACAGCTGACCTCCATGCCTAAGTACAAACCCCACTGTGCACTGTGTCCAAAGGTTCCAACTGGAGGGGCCCGGTATCCTGGTGTCTTACAGCCCGGGGCCTGTGTAATCCTTCTCTCAAAGGATGGTCTCAGGTATGTCACAGGGCTGAACTTAAGGGCCCTGGGTACCTCTTCTGCAGGGATTCAGACCAGGAATTCAGGCCAAATCAGATACCCCCAGCAGCATATATTTTGCAGTGATTCCAAGTCCCCTCCTATCCCCCACTCCCCGCCACCCCACCCCATCCCACCCCCCAGCCAATAAGGCAGTCTATTATTTTATTTCGTTGTTTTTTTTTTGTTTTTTTTTTTTGTTTTTTTTTGTACAATCCAGCAGTGGAGAGAAAAGGGGTAGGAAGGCCGACAACAGACACTTGCTGTAGGCTGTACAGTAAACTGTCTTTATTTCTTTTGGTTAAAAACAATGGATTTCAATCTGGCATTTCTGTGTACTTCTTATTCCATATGTACAGTACATTGGCGACGTACACCCAGCAGTATAAACAAATATCAGAAGAGAAAACACATTGAAAAAGTGGCTCCAAAGGCGGCTGTGCAAATCAGGACATGCACGGTCCACGAGTGGCTCAGTAGAAGCAGACAGTGTGCAGAAAGGCCCGGCCACTCTTCTCCTCAAACTCCTGCAGCAGCTCATCGATCTCGTTCTCCATATCCTCAGTGTGCTGGATCTGGGGAAAGCAAAGCCTTGAGTGACACTCGGGAATTGTGACACGCCTTCCCTCCCCTGCCCTGTGCTGCATCTCCCTCCTGCAGTGAGGACAGTCTCAGGATAGTGTGGCCCCTTCCTGGCAGTCCCTGCTTTGAGAACGATGGGCTCCAGACCTGCACAATGGCTGCTGTACCACCCCATATTGGGAATGGTAGAGCTAGATTCAAAGAAAGGACTGAACCCCGAGGCGGGGATTCAAGCTCTGCCCTCAGGTATCACAGGTTTATGGAAGCCTCACCAACCAGCACCATCCCAACCCTGCAATGAGTGAAGTGAGGGACACGAAGAGGCAGGCATCTTCCTAGAGCTGTCCAGCAGAGGCCGACCATGCTTCGTGGTGGAGCAGCCTGTGCCCTGCAGCAGGCTAGCGTACATCTGGCCTCTACCTCCAGACACCAAGAGCTTCTCCTGGTTGTGGCCGGGCACTGCCAGCAGTCCTTCACACTGAGGCAGGCTGACTGCTGGCCACACTGCCCTGCACGGCTACGCACTCTCTCAGTTTCAGTCCTTTCTCCAGATCTTCAGCCAAACCACAAGCGCAACTGCTGGAACTTCAGCAGTGACTGAAAGTGGAAGCTGGGCCGAATTCAACAGGAATGCGGATCCCCACACCAACTTCCCCATCAGCCTCTACTTGGGAAGCCAAGAGGACCTCAACTCTGTCACAACCAGCTAAACCTAAACATACTCTCAAGGGCGAAAGGCGGGACAAGGCACATGGCTCCTCCCACAACATCCCTCCTCAGCATCTAAACAGTGTGACAGACACGTCTACACAGCAGGTACACAGCCCTTAGGGAGCTACAAGATTGCCCAGGGGTCTTCAGAGAAGGATAAATATCAGGCAAAGGTACACAAAAATATCCCTATACTGTGACTGTTACCTCTGGGAGGCCCCCAGACACACCTCTGACAATATCAGGTAAGCTCTCCTAGCTCTGCAGCAGAGGAAAAGGTGAAATGTCAGTCATTTCTTCCAGAAGAGAGGCCTATGACCTGGAGATGTCATACATCACTTCCACCAACAACAGACGCACTCAAGCCAAAGTCACTAGTTAACCTGGAATGTGCACTTCTTGGTCTTTGAAATTTAGTATTAACCAGGATGTGAAAATAAATTGCTAGTGACGAGAAACCCCCTCCTCTTGCCCAACAGTCACTTCCTTGGTAAGGATGCCTGGACCTGGGTCTCAGACTCACACACTGGCAGAGCTCGCAGATAAGGAATGCCCCTAGGGTAGCCTCTTCATGGTTGTCCTGGATGTCCACGTTGACCACATGCACTGGCTGGCAGGTCTCCTGTTCTCTGGAATTCAGATCTGATTCGAAAGAGACACAGATATTACTAGGTATCAGGTAACAGATGTGTCCAAGTTCTGCTTTCACCATGCCTGCCCCTGAACTCTGGACTGTAACTCAAGGATTAAGCATCCAAGCTCAAGAAACTAAGGACAGACCCACAATGCAGGGTCAGTGAAGAAGCCTAGGAAAACAGCATACTCCACTCCAGGACATACTATGCCACCCACGCTGGCACCAACAGCACTTTCTATAACGCAAACGCTGAAGGCCACAAGGCTCACAAAAACATACAGGTACCCGTCCTCTGCTTACTCTTCACAGGCCGTCCTCCAGATGTCCACGGAGGTCAGAGGATGAGGGTGGGTGTCCTGTACATCACTGTCGCCCAGGGCCTGAGGCCTAAGCTACCTTCCCTTTTCCCTGGAGACCATAAGTCTTCCAGTCGAGTGTTGGCAGACTAGGCTCTGTGCACTCACCTTCTACAACCTGGTCATAGACTCTCTCTTCACAAGTGAGGATCAGGTCAAACAGGTCCTTGCAGTTCTGGAACCTTTCTGGCCGGGGCTTGATCCTTTTATTTCTGTCCAGCATATGTAAAATTCCATTCTGCGTATAGCTGAACACCAGAGTCAAGGAGCTTTGGATAAATGATTGTTCACTAACCTAGATCTGCCTGAAAATAAACGGTCCCCTGCTTCTTAGGGCTCCAAATTGGCTTTTGTCAATATCACAGCTCTAGGCCTTAGCATAGGCTGGGTAACCACTGCCCCATGATAGGAAGGTTCTGACTTCTTGGGGGTGTCATGATTTCTATAAGACCCAAATCTACCAAAGGCTCCAGACAGCCTTGGCTATTCTGACCGGGCAGAAAGAAGAGGCATTTCTGGCCTCCTCCTCTCATGACAGTGGCCTTTTCCTCTATCATACTGACCACAGCTCTGATCTGTGCTTTTAGCACAGGGTAAAGCATTTGTTCCCCCTCAAAACACAAAGACAACGCTGCCAGGAAACCAAGCCTCAATTCAGCTAAGCTACAGCAGGAAAAAAATCTCAGAAAATCCACAGAATTTTCCCCCGCCCCCTCCCAGACCAGGTTTCTCTGTGCAGTCCTGGCACTAGCTCTGTAGACCAGGCTGGCCTCGAACTCAGAGATCCACCTGCCTCTGCCTCCTGATTAAAGGCACACACCACCACACCCAGATTCCACCAAACTTCTCAAAACTCAGCAAGAGAAAGGACCGGAAACACCCTACTGGTGATGGTCCAGGAGGGACAAGTCTGGCTCAGCTGAAAGCAGGGAAACTGCCAGTTGAACCCAAAGGGTAATCCAGATGGCGCCTCCATGCTCAGGCCCATCGGCCTGGGCAGAAGCCAGGAGTCACTGCCTTTGGGGCCTTCAAGGCTGTGCCACCCTATCCTCAGCTGCTCCGGACACTCAGAAACAGGCATCTGTTCTAGGGAAACAGAAAGGCTCTCCCATCGTGGGGCCTGACTGACCTCAGGTTACCAGGCTCCAACACAGGTGCCCTTACCCAGTGAGTCATCTTCCTAACACGTCAACTTATTTAAGCAAGTGCATGGTGCTTTTAAAACTAGTCCCTGCTTTCTGGACTGGAAAGGCAGCTTTTAGAACACATTTAGGTGGCCAGTCTAAACAGTTTAACTTGAAGACATCTGACCATGAACTGCCACGCAGCCCCACTCCCTGCTGCCTACAAGAAAAGCTGCATCCATGCTTAGAGCCCTTCAAGGTCCCGGGGTGGGGGGAATGAGTTTAAGACCAAACCCAGTGGCTGGTACTTCTGGGATAGAGGACAGGGAGCAGGGGGGAGTAGACCTTTTGGGAAGGAATCCAATCAGGACCCAGGTTCTTAAATTTAGCACTGACCCCAAGGAAAAGCTGGAAAAAGTCACACGGAGGCAGCTAGAGATAGTGGGAAACACCACTTTGCATTCCCCACTATCAGAGTCAGGCCCCAAAATGCTCCAAGAACTGCGGTCACAGGGTGGTCCTGCCTGGGAATGACTTTTAAGTGACCACCCTCAAGTGAAGAGCAAGCTGTGTGCTGAAGGTTGGGAAACAATCATGTCAGCACCTCACCTGAACCTGACAACTTGGGGGGCGAGGAAGGATTTGAGAGTTTCTGTGTAGTCCTGGATGTCCTGAAACTTGCTCCGTAGACCAGGCTGGCCTCGAACTCAAGAGATCTGCCTGCCTGTTTCCTGAGCGTTTCCTGGGTGCTACCACTGCCTAGCAAATTGGACACTTCTCACAAACCCCAACAACCATACAAAAACTAGCTTAGAGGCCAGGCTAGGATATGTAGGTGAACATAGTAGACAGGGCCAACTTTCTCAGGATCCCCTATCCTTGTTACTATTCATGACAACCTCAATGAACAGCCAGTTAGCTGGGAAACTTCAAGAGCGCCAAGCTTAAGAAACGCTTGGGCTGATTCTCACTTGGCCAATCCCTGGGTTGAACCAGCAAAGCTTCCGAGGAGTCAGGGGCTCTTTGGTTCTAATCGGCCAGTCCTGGAGTGAGGTGGCACACACCTTTAATCCTAGCATTTGGGAGGGAGAGGCAGAGGCAGGCAGATCTCTGAGTTCAAGGCCAGCATGGGTTACAAAGAGAGTTCCAGGACAGGCTCCAAAGCTACACAGAGAAACCCTGTTGTGTGTGTGTGTGTGTGTGTGTGTGTGTGTGTGAGTGAGTGAGAGAGAGAGAGAGAGAGAGAGAGAGAGAGAGAGAGAAAGAAATGGAGTAATCATAAGAGACTTTTTAGTCCCCACATGCACAGAACCTGCTGCCTGAGGAGGGCTGGCCCCTTAGTGGCCTGCTTCCGGGATCATGCAGCATATTTGGGAGTAGTTGCTCTTGGGAATGGATACAGTCATCCACTTGTAAATTAAGATTTCACAGGTATAGTACTAGTCATGTCTTCTTCACTAGTTAAGCAATTATCCAAGAGAAGCTATTTCCACAACCAACTTCATGGACACCAAGTATGGACTCTTACCTTTCCTATCAAATGGGAGCAGAACCAGGCATCTTTAGCCACTCCCAAAGAAATGCTTTTGGCTTCCCCAGAGCACAAGGCTTTTGACAGAACATCCTATGAAGAAAGGCCAGACCAATGAGACCCACAGGCAGGCTCTCAGCATCAAGTTCAACACAGAACAAGGTTTGTGCTCTTTTCTGTGCCCAGCCAACCAAGGCAAGGCAAAAAGTTTTCTGGAGAAAGGGAAAGTGTGCATAGGGCAGGAACTGCACAACAGCCAGTCACTCACTGGTCCTGTGCTCACCAGGGCATACAGCTCTGCCCACTTCACTAATTCTATGAAATGCCTGTAACTGTAGCTAAGAGGTACACAGATCCTCAGGACCCCACAGCAATGGGGCCTCTCAACTACCTCTCAAGAACTCACCTTCAGACTGAACTTCCTGGGCTGAGTCGGGCCCATGCTACTACTACCATGAACAAATCTTC